AGATCCGTGTACCACACATCCCACTAGATGAACTTACAGTGTGTTTTTGGTCTGATGCGGCCTTTGCAAACAGTTCAGAACTGAAGACACAGGGAGGTTGGTTGATTTGCTTCACTTCAGATAAGATGCGACAAGCTATTGATGTGCCAGTGCATTGTTTCTCCTGGAAGTCATACCGCATGCCAAGGGTTGTAGCTTCGACCATGTCGGGCGAAGCACAGGCTTTTTCGACGGCCTCAGGTGTGTGCGGATGCTGCTAATGTTGTCAGAGTGTTTGGACGGTCCCTTTGATCTAGAATCTGCACAAGAGGTTTTGAACAAACGATCACCAATAGGGATCACTGACTGCAGGTCATTATATGATCATTTGACGTCCTTGGGAAGTGGAGGGGTTCTTGATGACAAACGAACAGCGATAGACATCGCTATCATTCGACAGTGTATCCAACGTGCCCCACTCCTCACATGGCAGCAGACGCACTCACGAAAGATCGTGCCGAGCCAGTAGATTTGCTAAGATCAATTCTCCGCAGCTCCCGCTACCAGCTAGCGGACGACCAAGTCATGATGGATCGCAGACGTGCCGAGAAAGATCGAAGGCGTCGTGTGGCTCAGAGTCGATCCGAGAAGCAGAAGGTCGAGAAGGCCGAAGGTTGAGGTTTCATGCTGTACAGTCTGTATGCTTAAGTGTGAGAGGGTTTTCACTGAGCAGAGCAGTTTTTTGCGAGCATGATACCATAATTTGATGCATAAGTCCTTGAGCCGTAGAATAATGCCATATCCACGATAGATAACATGTCCTTCAGTGAGCGTCAATCAATTGATGTGCAGTTGGCTTTCGCCTGGATTCGTTTGGGAGAATCTTGAAAGGGAAGCACAGTTGTTTAGATCAGATGTTTTTCCAATTTTTGCAGTTGTTTGATGATGCAAGCGGTAACGGTGTAGTTCAGATCACTGACCGCCGATGCTCGAAGGATTTTGGTTCAGCCGATCACGAGGGCGAGACATTTGCCTTCACGAAGAGTCTAGGGGTGATTCGACATGGATTCCCGCTCAGTTCCAGTGTCTCCTGAGGAACTTGCCGCGGCTCGTGAGATCCTCAGCCGTGCGAATCAGTACGGAATCTCATCCAAAGCAAGCATGGAGAGTGCTGGCTCAATGAACGATTCGTGCAAACGACTTCGAGACCATGCCCAGCCAGAGGCTGATGAGTGGGAGCCTGTGACATACGAAGAGGGTCATGGACCTTCCATCATGTGTGAGCGTGCAATCCCGAAGGAAATTGCCAGTCAGATGCCCGTGATGCCCAAGGCTAAGGCCATTGATCTTCCTCCTGGAGTGACCGATCTCCAGGACTGGGGTTCAACGATCTGTGCATTGCCCAAGGTGGCAGGTGAGAAGCTATCTTACCGTGAGCTGGTGAGTGACCCCAAGCGTGCTCCTTATCTGAAGTGGATTTGTAATCACGGAAAGAATCGGGGCGGCCGATTCGAAGATCTGGCCAAGTATTTGCAGGCAGTGGGATTTGAACAGAAGACCGAGAGCACATGTTACCCTGGAACAACAGAAGCCCGTGAGAAGAAGAAGTGATCTATGGCTGGACGAAAGCATGCCGATTGCGTTCGCTGCAGCACGAGTCCGGAAGATTTGTGCTTGAAGTTCGTTAGATAGAAGATTATAATAGGAGTTTAAAAGCAGTGTCCAAGCAAGCAGGCATTTCGTATGTATTCGTTCGTGGACAGGCAACCCATTTGGCTTAGGCAAGGCTAAAAAGGGGCGGCCGCGCGTTTGGGATAGGTTTCCCTTGTTTGGCCAAGACGGCCTCGGTTTGAACATATGTATATGTATATACAGTTCACAAAATATTAGACAGGGGTGTGGCCCAAAAGCATCGCAGGAGTAACGGAAGAATATACTGTATAAAGCGAAGGTGGAACGTTTTGGAAAAGGAGGTGGAGGAGGCTGGCTGGAATTTGTAGAGGTTTGCTGCGAAGAGATGTAGACGTGCATATGGCGTATGATAAGTGGAGGTGCGCAAATGCACCATGTGCAATGATGCGTTGAATGGTGCGATGATGTGGTGTGTGATGGTGTGATGTTTGATGTGTGCATGATGCTGGTGTTGCGATGTAAGAGGATGTGATGATGTGATCATGTAGGGGATCATGACGGCTCCACAAAGGCAGGCAAGCGGACCACCCTCAGATCCGCCCATGCATACCAGGTTCAATGTACCCAGCATTGGCCAGCACAAACATGCCTGCATCAATCGTCCCGCTCACCAGCGACACGACACATCTATTCAAGAATGTTTCCAGTTCCCCAATGGCAAGGAGTCACGCGTTCACTTTCCTGAGAAGCTTCGCCAAACTATCAGGAGCAAGAAGCTACTAGTAACAAAGGGCATTTCTACTAGTAGCAAGAATGCTATTAGTAGCTCCTGGCATCGCTACTAGGAACCCGGGCATCGCTACTAGTTACTAGTAGCAAGGACGCTACTAGTAGCTCCTGGCCTTGCTACTAGGAGCAAGGACGCTACTAGGAGCAAAGGGCATCGCTACCAGGAGCAAGAAGCCACTAGGGGCTCCTGGCCTTACTACTAGGAGCAAGAAGCTACGCCACCCCACGACATCAAAGACGTATGCAACTTCGCCACCCCGCGCATCCACATTTGACAACCTTGTCGCGCTTGACAGCAGTACAATGATAAGAAGCTGATGCAAAAATGAGATAGACCTTATGCAAACGAGAGAATCTGAAATAGCTATATGCACAAACGCGTGGCTCTTCAAACCACTGGCAAAATCAACCCAAGCTTTCTTGCCACCAGTTCCACACCCGACATACCCCCAACTAACTTTCTCCACTCTCCAAGAGCACACTTGCAATCTTTATCAAAAGTGAGCACATGCACAGATATGATGTTCACAAAAGAACAGCTGAATGCCCCAAGCACTTTTTGCAGAAGCTCATGGCTGAGCAACCCCCGTTTCACCTCCTGAACTGACGACAAGCCCCTTTAGCGCGGACTCCCGAGCACCATCCTTTTTCTCAGGCTGCGCCAGCGCCTGCGCTTGCGCAACATGCCAGCTCTTCTGGCCGGGAATGCTCAAAGCAACAAGAATGCCTTCACTGGCTCTCTTTGGAGCGAGAAGTCCCCCATGAAAAACTCCACATTGGGACAACCATGAAATTTCAAAGCGCGCTGCCCAAGAGCCGAACCTGCAGCAAGTAATCTTCTGCAAATGGCAATGCTACTGCAATGGAGGTGCCCTTGCTTGTTCCCATATTTGGATGCACTTCAAAATCCTAGCCTATCCCCCTTAAACAAGCCGGCCCCAACAACACATGGGCTCTGTGTCAACCTCTGGGCCCCTCGAGGGACACCATGTTTAAGGATAGGTGGGTGGGTAGAACCACAAGACGACCTGTCGCTCTACATGCAATCAGCACATACGCTGCACGGCCACCTCGTGCAATCCTACCCATAGAACAACAAACCCCGACAACATAACGGCTTGAGCGTCGGAAGTTCAGAATGCGGAAGCGCAAACGCATCCTTTTTGTATCAAACCCTTCACGGGCTCACCAGCAAAAGAACCTGGCCCAACCAAAGATGGTGGATTACACGGAGCATCCACCCCTCCTACCAGCAATGTCTGTTCCCAAAAATCAGGCTGGCTTGGCATTGGAACTCTAAGCGCGCCCTGAAATGGAGTTCTCTTTCGCTGCGCCATGTGCAACAGAAGGAAAGACAAAGGTGGCTGTCAAGCTCCTGGGAAGCAAATGGAGAAATTGACCACCAAGGCGCATGCCGAAACGGCTATATAGGTAGTCTGGAGGAAATTATTTTGCACTTGAGGCAGTGTGTGATTGCACTGCATCCTTGGGTATCCAATCTTGGAGTGAATCTGTTGCAGAAGTGGCCAAACAGAGCTCAAACGAAGATGAATGGCCTTACAAATCCCAAAACTGGGTTCAGTCACTTGGGGGCGCTGGTCCATCCTGCACAGCGGTCTTGCTTGGTACAGAAAAGATGCGTGCTCGTTTGGCTTGGCCGGGCTACTTGGACATCGAGGATGCGGACAGCCAATCAGTCTCAAGCGATTGCTAACTACGAAGTTCCTGGAATGTGGAGGCCATCGCTATTAGGTGGAGGCCATCGCTAGTAGGTTGGAAAGCATTGCTATTAGGTTGGAGCAGATAGCAACGCCCAGGCCCCTTGGAGCAGAAGCCACCCGGTTCACCAGGACTTTGGGGCTTGCTGATTGGAAGCCATGGGATCACAGAAACCACAACTCTATTGTATAATTACACACATGCAAACAACAAGTAAATCAAAACCTACCGCGCATCAAGAACTAAAGCTGAATGACCTGAAGGATCCCGCAGGGTACTTGGATCCTACTTGGAGTCAGCTGCGGGGACCCCTCGTGACTCGCGTTCCCGTGGGAGAACAAAAAACAAATTACCTGAGACCTTTCATTGCTATAGTAATCTTTGCCCCAGCGCGTTCTGCAAGCAAACCACTCGACTCAATGAAAAACACGCAACCTTCGATGGTTCATTTCGCACAGTCACAGATCCGCCTATGCCGCTGGAAGGGTCAGAAACGGCGGCCACAAATGCTTGCAGCTCAGATTGCACGCTGGGACTGTCCAACGAAATATATTCCAACTTCCGATGCTGAAGTTGCTGCTCCTGCACTGTGAGAAGGCCATACGTTATGTAGGGGTTTTAAGGCCTAATAGAGGCCTTGGCACAGCCTAGACCAACCTAAACACAAACAAGTTCTGTGGTCGCAATCGCCGTCCCAAAGTTTGAGACACGGCGAATGTGGTCGGGCCAAATACCTGTAAAAACCAAGGCAGCCCCGTCCTGGTAGGTTGCCACGACCTGTGCATTACATTCACTGCAGTAGAAGCTTTCATGTGGCAATTTTCGAATAATTTGCAACATTAACATCCATCCAGCATCCTCACAAAACTCGCATGCTTCACTCACCAACTTCCCAAAGCTCCCATGATGGGAGCTCCAAACTGGCAACCAATCACCCAATCTTCGCACATGGAGATCTCAAACTTCCAGACCTTGAAGACATTGATCTGAATGACCAGGGGCTGTAAGGCGTGGACCACGGCAGCCACGGCTTGGCCGAAGAGCTCTTGCGCCAACATGGCACGCTGGGCGCATTCAGCATGAGCCCGGCGCTCTTGGCGGTTGCCCCGGACATCGACCGCAGCGAGGCGCTCAAAGAGGCCTTCTTCCTCGCGGAACTCCGCGAGTGAAGGAGGGACAGCGGCATGGTTCGGTGGACATGTTCGGACAATTCCAAAAGTCCTACTAGCTAAAAGGCTTCCTGACGAACCGAAGTGAACCAAACCTCAATGCACCCAACAATGTCTGGCTGTGTTCTTGAACGCAAAGCTGCACGAGGCAAAACTGCAGATTGTTATTGCAAAACCATTTGTACCGGCTGCATCACCTCTACGTGGCGAAGTCGCACTCCTGCACGGCCACCTCCAAGCGTTCGGATGCGGCGAGCGTGGCCGACCAGGCTTCCAACAAGGCCTCGCTGGTCCGTTCCTCTGCGCGCATGGCACGTTGCCACACCTCGCGCAAAGCGGCAGCGTCGGCGCCTAGCGATGGGAAGCGGAAAGACGGATCGGCATGGTGCAGGTAGACGGGTCGTTTCGCCTGTAGACAACTATTGGACTACAATCAAGCTGACTACTATATACTGGTTGGCAAATGGTCATGCAGTTGCAAGACCAACAAAGCTAGAAATGTTTGCGGGGGACAATGCTGCATGGTGTTGAGGTTTAAGATCCCGTGTGTGCTTTCTTTAGCCTCCATCTCGGGCGGGCGGGCAGGGTGGAAGAATCTTGCGCCTTTCCCTGAACCCGGAAAACGTGTGAAGGTAACAAGTAGGATGCAGGACTGGGCATGGAGTGATTGCCTTACGCAGTGTAGCACTGCAATGCTCCCCTGCTGGATGTTTATGGATTTTGAAGACTTCTCGCAATTGTGGCCATGCCTGTTCTGGGGCACCTTACGTGGATGAGCTGGGTTTGTGGGAGGTGATTGGATGTCTATTGTGCGGTCTAGCCCATCAATGACCACAGTCTGCACTCTGGCAGCTTCACTCAGAATCCTTAGCAAGGTTGCAAGCTGCAACGGCGCGGAAAAAATAGTAAAATGAAATCTGCATGATGAGATAAGAAGAGTTGTAAGATCGCCCATGACCAGAAAAGCATGGCAAAGTCGCGCAAATCCAAAATTACCACATTGAATTACAAACCTGCGAGAATACTCTCAAGCATGGATCTGATTGTTTCTTTGCTCACCCATTTCTGGAAGATTGTGTCTTCCACCTTTGATTCCCCAATGGCAAACACATGTTGAGGCAACTTCCCGTGCTCTTTCCAAGGCTAGATTTTGAGAGAATTGATGCGGCTTCCCGTGCTCTCTCCACCGTTTTCAGAGTCTGGGCACCAGAATGCCTGGTTGGTTCGTTGGTTGGGTCAGCCGAGAACGGAGCCTTCATCCCGGTTCGAAGGAACATGGGACGGAGCCGGGATGGGGAAAGAGTTTGAGAAGAAACACAATGGCAGTGGTACTCTGTGGATCTCGCACTCAATCTGGGTAGGTGAATGAACCCCTTGGTGGCAAAATACATCTGAGCAATGTTTCATATCTCTCAACTTCCCCTGCAGTACGTTACTTCCCTACAATGCAAAAAACAACACAACATCCCTCCTGAAAGGATAGTAAGGTGTTATTGCGCCAAAAGTTGGGTTTCTTACGCACGCCGCGCATGAAGAAACAGCTGAAAACCCTGAAGGTTGCTGCAACACCAAACGATTGTCACGCTGTGGGCGACAGAAGATTCAAAACCTTCAACAAGTTCTGGTAAGGTGGGGATTGTAGGCGAAATAAATGATTCATGTGCATGCGTCTATGAAAGCTCAAACATGAATGTGCCCGCACATTCAGACCAATGTTGTTGGATCGAACCCAAGATCTCTTCGGCAACGTTCTTCTGCTGAATCAGTCAAAAAACAAAACACCGTCCGTCCTGCACACTGAGAGAAGTTGTGGGCCAAGTTCACAGCGTAGTCAGTCTGGTCAAGGGCCTGGTGGGATGTTTTTCTTAGGCCAAGCAGGGGTCTTCATACGTGGGCGCTGCGGAAACTTGTGTCGGGTTTTGTCTCCTAGTGAAGCCACATGCATCAGCATAGGCCCCAAATAACTAGGCAGAATCCAACAACCCAAAAAATGTCAATTTCTCTAGCTGTTGATGCGCGACTGGAAGGAAATAGTAACTAGAGTGTACATGCAGCCAGCACAGCTAGCTCACAGCACGGCACCAGCACCCAACCAGCTGACATCAGCAACGGCACCAGCACCAACACCTTGTCACGACAGCGTCCACACCACACAGCACCCAGCACCGGCACCAGCAGTGACACCCTGTCTCGAAAGCGCACACAACCATTTCATTTTTATTGAAAGTAAGAACCTCATAGCTATCATTATCTGGTGAACAAAATTACGCCAGCATAGAGTCATAGAGTTGCAGCATAGACCCCACGTAGCACAAGATACTGTGGGCAGCATGACACCAGCACCCACACTGCAAATTGCACGCTGCAGGCAGTGGCACCCTGCAGCGGCCTGAAGCAACACCAACACGCGCTCCAAAGTTCAACCTTGCCATAGGCGCCGGCACCTTGCACCCTGCAGCAGCACCAGCACACAGCTTGCAACTTGCACACCGCCATGGACGTCTGGCAGCAACACTCTGCAGCGGCACCAGGAGCAGCACCAACACCCACCAATCCGCACACAGGCACTGCTTCCTACACTTGAAATAGGAACCCCAATAGCTCTCGCTATCTTAGTTTCGTTTGATCTGGTCTGGTTAACACCAAGACCCTGTTCAGGAGCCGAACAGGCAGCAGCACACTGGCAATCTTGTCAGAAGGACGGCGCTACTGGCTTCTCGTACGTCCACAAAACAACAGTTTATATGTGGAAGCGGGTGTTTGTGAGAAAACAATCCCAACCGATTTCAACGAGCGTGGGCACTGACCTTCAGGTGGAGCATAGTGAAGGTGTTGTGCTTTTCATGGGCATGGAGGAAGGTCTCCATGACTGGTTGCAAGATCGCTGCGAGCTCGGCTTGTGAGACCTCAAGTGGCAAAGCCTTTAAGCTGCTTGCGCGACCCAGTCCGCTCTGTCCGGGACTCAAAAGTTCGTGGAGACCCCGTGCGAGGTCACGGTGGTCTGAGGCCCGATTACCTGCAGAAAGCGACTTGTGGATCATTGTGTGAGTCCAAAACCGTGCCAAAGTAACTAAATGTAACTAATGGATATCAATAGCTATTGAGTTTGACATCCGGGCAAGGTCTATGGCCACCGTTTTTTAGACCTTTCATACGTATAGAACCACCCCACCAACCCGAGCGGCCAGAGGACAACAGCAGGACAACTGCGAGCACCAGGAGGACAAGAGGAGGACAGCAGAGGACAACTGCAAGACAACTGCAAGCACCAGGAGGACAAGAGGAGGACTGCGGAGGACAACTGCAAGACAACTGCAAGCACCAGGGGGACAAGAGGAGGACTGCAGAGGACAGCAACAGGACAACTGCAAGCACTAGGGACAAGAGGAGGACAGCAGAGGACAACAGCAGGACAACTGCAAGCACCAGGAGGA